GTGTGTGTATGTGTGTGTGTCGGGATTGGAAAAAAGGGTGGTGTGTGTGTGTGTTTGTGTGTGTCGTGATTGTGTGTTTTATTTAAAAATAAAAAAATATGTATGAACGGTGGTCAATGGAACGAATCATGCTGAGAATCCCAGCAGACGTCACAATTTACCGGCATCTTGGACAAAAAGGAGTCCATGTGTTACTAGACGTATAGTTATCTGGTTGCGTATTCAAAGGGGGGGGTAATGATGACCAAGATTAATTATGAAATTAGACACAAGAACATTTTTGAAAGTTTCAAAATACACTTAAAAGTAAATGTGTATCAAAAACGAAAATAAAAAAATTTTGGGGGTGGGTGGAGGGGTGCATCAGATAAAAGGCCTCGTGCTATTACAGGTGTGTGAGACAACGCTGCCCCAGAACCGTTCCAGCAACGGGATCCTGTTGAAACCCGTCACGGCGACCTTCTGGTTCCAAACCACTTCGCAGTCGTAGATCTTCCTGCCGACCACGGTGAAGCAGGGCGCGTCGAGCCGGGGGACGCCCGACAGCTTCGTGAGGATCCCCGTGATGAAGGCGTCCTCGGGGGCGATGAGTCTCACGCGCTCCGCGGCGGAAACGATTACGCCGACGCTGGCCCTGCTGACGGCGTAGGTGTGTCCGTAGAGGTATATGGGGTAGAAGGGTAAAGGGAATTCCTCTTTCGCCACCCCCCATCTACCGCCTCTCACCACGGGCGGTTTGCTACGAATATATTTCAAGCCCACGACGAATGTATCGTTATCTATATTGTCCCGAACATGAAGTAAGTACTCGACCATGAGAGGGGCGTTTATAAAGGTATCTTGGTCGACTTTTAAAGCGAATTCCGCCATGTTGCAAAACTTAAGCACCCATTGGAGCCCCACGAGCATTTTAATAGTCAAGTTTCTATAAGAATCTTCAAAATCTGCCACAACAATGTCATTGTAGAGAATAGATTCGTTTTTCAAAATACGGAGGTCTTCCCTTTTTCTATCTACCTTCAAACCAAATAAAAATATGTGTTTGATCTTTTTTCTGACTTGCGCCTGAGGCCAGGAATTGGTCTCTGCAGCTCCTAGCCATGTCTTTCGAATAGCGTCCCTATGTGCTCTGTTATCCACGACCGAAGGTATGATGATCAGGAGAAATGGGACGTCCCTTAAACAGATGTCCTCCCCGGTTATAAGCAAGGGGTAGTTTAAATAAGTCCTCATGGCAGGAGAAGACGTGTAGTTGTTCCAGTTGGATTTAAGGTACTCGTCCTCTGGAATGTAGGTGAACAAGGTGGTCCCACCCGAGGGTTTGGTGAGATTTTTAAATATGTCTTCGGTTGAATTAAAGAGGTAGCCGGATTTAGAGTGAGGGGCATCAGAAGTGATGGAGGAATTGGGACCCAGGGGCACTAAAGAAGGTTTTACTGTTCCAGTTATGGGCCCTGCGTTGATAGTTTCTCTCACTGTGGAGTTTGCAGTGTTGATCTCTTTTAAAATGGGAATGGCAGAAATAATATCCGGTCTGTCCGAAGGTCGAAAGGTAGATTTCAGTTGTTTCACAACGGTCGACAGACCAGGGGTGGTTATCTTAGATGTCATGCTAACCAGCGAGTCGGTTTTAGGAGTGTGCCCCTGGACGAACACGGGTTCATCACGGGGAAATATCTTGTAGTGTACCCTAAAAGAGAGATAACTAACGGAGGGCAAGACTAGGGCCGCAAACAAGATGCCAAAACCGCGCCGAGAGCTCATCCTCCTGATGTTTTTCGTGATCATGGTGTTAGGGGATTAATTATAAGTTACAGCCTAATCAGCCAAAGATGGTCATTTAAAATCTTGTGTGTAAAGCCAAATGGAAAATGAGGTGTTATTCCAAGGCTGGTTGTCAACAGCACTGCAGTATTGCAGAGTCACATCCCTCTTAAACAGCTTTTAACAAACAATATGAGGAAGACGCAATAGTTCCAAACGTTTATAAGTTAAAATAAGATTTAGTTAACATTTTTCTATGAGCGTCATATCATTCCCTGGCAATTATTCTTGGTTTTGGTCGTTTTTAAATCCTATGTGTGCTCCTACTTGCTGAATCCAGTCAATGTCTTGTGTCTAGATGTTTTGCATCCAGATTTTGTGTTCAGATGACTTGTGTCCAGATGCCTTGTCTCCTGATGTCTTGTTTTCAGATGTCTTAAAATAACTTGTGACGCCCTCTTTCGGTCAGTGTTTACTGTGTTAAACTGAAAAAGGAAGAAACATATCAATTAAAGCTTTAACTTGCTTGTTTCAACTTTTAAAAATTTTTCGAACTTTAATGATTATATATTATTATACAATGTAGGTTCAAACGATCACCCAGGAGCATGGACTATTCACCACAAAGGATATTACAAATGATAACTATAACAAAACACGCGATGATTTCTTATACCATTGTAATATTTTGTTTCATGTACGACTGTTCAGGGTAGATGTCTGCGATTGAATGAAAATTGTTTTGTTTAGAAAATTTAAGTTTATTTCGTCAGGCCCACTTAAACATTTTTTTTTTCCTCCTTGCCACCCTTTTTAAAATCCTTTATATTAATTTCACTTTTACCCGTTTGTTTCTGGCTGTGTGGCAAAATCTTCAGATGGCAAATTAAACCACTTCTTGAAAAGCCATCGAGCCTAAATTCGGCACATAGATTCGTTGACAATGACAACACACTTTGTCAAACTCTCGGCCGCACCCACCCAAAAAAAAGTTATTTTTTCCCCGTTTTTCAAGGGCAAGATAAAGGAAATAATTATGATGCCCAAGATTTTAATAAAATAAAATTCCCGATAACTTTATGTCATAGGTTATGCGCCTTGTTTACTTTCATTCAACTTTTCATATTTCACTTTAGAGAGCAATTCAGTCAAAAACGATTTTTCCCTTTATAGTGGGAGATTTCAACTTTCCTGGTTGGAACTGGTCTACCTTGAAGCCCAAGTCCCCATACCCTATCCCATACTCTGAATTCATGGAGATAATTAAAAACCAAGGTCGGGAACACATGGTTGACGAACCCACGTGAAGAGAAAACACTCGCGACCTACTCCTAATCAATAGTCCACATCTCATCCCACGATTTGAGGTCATCCCCGAGATATCAGACCACTGCAAACCACACCGCGAACTTTAAGCGTGCGCACTAAAAAAAGAAGCAGACTGTGCGAGAAATCCCCATTTAAGCAAAGGCAGGCTGGGATAGCATGAGAAGAGACACGACATGCATCTAACATGCATGAGATTCAGCGAAACGCGACAACATAAGAGCTGTGAATGAAGTATTTCAACTCAATAATGATGATGTTAATAAATACATTCCACACAAGACCACCAAGCCTAAGACAAATCAGTCATGGGTCACGGCAGAAATCCTTAGGCTCATACACAGGAGAGACCGCTGGTACAAACGAATGAAGAAGAATGGCTCGGTCAAACTGAAAGCCGAGGTACTGAGGCTTCGCCGAACCATCCAGCGCTTACTGCGCTGATCTTACTGGAACTACCTCAACCGCATCTTTTCAGAGAAAGATACTCCGGCCAAGGGTGTCAAGAGCAAGTGCTTCTGGAGCTACGTCAAGCACCAAAGTCATAAAACACTTGGGTTCCCCCCCCCCCGAGATGGGACGGCCCTTTGACGTCTGAACTAAAAGCACAGGTGGACATACTCAATCAGCAGGTCCAGTCGGCCTTTGGTGATTGTAGAGAGTACTGAGAGGTTAAGTTCCTTCTGAAGACCAACATGATGAGCACAGCCTACCCCGTCATGGAAGATATCTAGATTTCAGAGCAGGCTGGCGCTCCTTAAAACCATTAACCCCTAAAAGGCATGTGGTCCTGACAACATCAAACCATGAGTGTTAAAAAAAATTGGCCAATGAAATCGCCTCTTCGCCGACAATCCGCTTCCAATCGTCGCTATTCACAGGCAACGCTCCAACCGAGTGGAGAACAGCACATGTCCCTCCAAACTACCAAAAAGGGGATCATTACGACCCTGCCAACTACCAAACGTTATCCCTCAACAGCGTAGTTTGGAAATTATTCAAGCACATAAACCTAGGTGCGGTCATGAATCATCTAGAAAGCCACAATATACTAAATGAGTGTCAGCATGGCTTCCGAGTCAACAGATCATGTAAGACCCAACTCCTTGAATTTGCTGAAGAAATGACGACCAATTAATTGAACAGTAAATACACTGATTTCCTTGTGCTGGACTTCTCAAGGGCATTTGACCGTTCCAATCATATTTTACTATTACACAAACTGCAGAGATATGGGATCCAAGGCACTACCAAAACATGGATCTCTTGCTTCCTCAGCGACCGATGCCAGGCAGTAGTGGTAGAGGCACAACCTCCTCGTTTTTCGTGTTAAGACAAGGGTCCCCCAATGCTCGGTGCGAGGCCCCTGTTTTTTTCTAGCATATATCAATGACCTGCCCGAGAAGCTGACCTCTCAAGCAAGACTGTTCGTAGACGACACGGTGGTGTATAGGATGATCGCCAACAGTTCTGACCACGACCAGCTACAACAGGACCTCCATAGGATAGCAGAGTGGGAATTGAGCTGGGATATGGAATTTCATCCCGTCAAGTGCCAGACCATGTCAGTCTCCAGAAGCAGATCCCTCTACTCCACCCTTATGAATTGCAATGCCATATTCTTGAGTAAGTTTCCTCCGTTAGGTACCTAGGTGTTACGATTCAAAGAGAGGTTCGCTGGGACAAAAACATTAACAATGTGAGCAACCGGGCAAAAAAGACCCTAGGATTCCTAAGGCAAAATCTGATGATCTGCAACTCATAAGTGAAAAGAAAAAGCCTATAAAGCCTAAGTGCCGCTGCTTTTAGAATATTCATCTTCAGTCTGGGATCAATTAACCCAGAAGAGCATCGGACAGGTTTGGGTCGATCCAGCGACGAGCAGCACGCTTTGCCCTGAACCGCTACATAAAGACCTCAAGCGTTGGCAGTATGCTGGAAATACTGGGCTGGTCACCATTGGAAGAACGACTACGACAATCAAGGTTCTCCATGTTTTACTAGATGAAAATTGGGCTGGTCCACTGCTCCAGCATTAAAAAGAAACTTGTCTATATCCCCCTAGACAGCGACGAGGCCACGACAGGCAGTTCCGGCTAGTAAAAACAAGAATTCAGCAGAGAAGCTCCTCATTGCTGCCAACGACAATAAGGGACTGGAACAGGCTTCCAATAGCAACAGTTGAGGGGACTACACTTGACACATTTGCGTCTATTGCCTAATATCTTCCAACCCACAGTTCATAATAGCACTGCTGAGTAGCCCTTGCAACCAGTGAAGCAACCCCTTCAAAACCATGCAGAGTAACATCGCACACCCCCTAAAATATAGGAGCCAGAGTAACCAACTCATTGATCGTGGGCCCTCAAAAACTAGAAGAAGAAGAGTCATCGTGTAAAAGGAGTTTGTTGGTTGCCAGCTAGAAAAACATAGAGTTGTGTTGAAATGATGACTCTCTTATGAGTTACCACCTGCTCGCGACTAGGTGATTTAATGATAGATTCAAATAATAGATTATTTGCTGGGTGGCTAAGTGGTCTAAACTGAGATCTATTCCAGCCAAAGCCCAGTCAAGCAAAAACATCACCAGCACCCCGGGTAGATGGGAATCGTTAACCTTGGATGGCCACTCATCTAAGAGAAGGAAACTCTGAAATCAAACTCGGAGATGGAGTCCCAAAAGGCGGATAACATTGTTACAATAAAACATTCCGACAACTCCAACTACGCCACTGGTGCCAAGCTGTATCATCCGAATGATTTTCCCTTGGGTTATACTTGAAAAATCCTTGAAGAATTTCCCAGGCCTTGTAGATTTCGTCCTCCGAAGCCCACACCGTCGTCATATAGTGACGGACGGATGCCAGCAAAAGCAAATCAGCCACAATGGTAAATATGTTCATTCATATACACAGATATGTAATTGAAAAGAAATTGTAAACCATTTTTTCAGAAAGAAAAGTACCTTTTATTTACATCAAATTTTAAAAAAAAGTTTAATAAAAATATACGTCTTACAGAATGGAATTTCAAATGATTATAGGAATGTATTATATCCACTTTTGCATATAACATTTACTGTTTCGTTTCTAATGGCTATGGATGACTGACCTGCGGTAGTAACTGAAACATTTCTTCATTACTACTTACTGCTCTGTTGTAAGATACGTGTTTTCTGATAGTTACAAATTATCTTGTCAATTCATTATATATTTTTGATGATCTGGACCGAACGCTCAATGCTTGAGGCTACTTCTATTTTAGAAATGGGGCCTCCTCTGATTGCCATCAAAAGTTTTTTTAGGGCAGTGGGGTAGGTGAATGCGTAGAGCTGGGTGGACTCCTTAAAATCAAGCCTCGGACATTAGCCCCCAAATCTAACTGCTAAAGGGCTGTGGTTTCTTGCAACTTCAAACGAGGTAGATGAAATTGCAGGCCGATCTTCTCACACGTGGGATTTGCAATTAGATGCTTCTGTTCCCTAAGCGTGCCAAGGGTGAAAGAAAGAATACAACGCCATTCCAACGAGGCTTATTTGGACGGCTGGGGAGGGTGGGGATTTATAACTGGCTGACGGTTTGATCATGAGGGGGGAAAAAAAAGATTGAGCAAGCATGAGCGAAACCCTGATTTCATCATAAAAGTAGACTAAGAAAGTTTCGAGTATGGAAGTAGAGAAGTACAACGTATTGAGGGGAGTCCGTCCAGGTTAAAAGATAGAGAGAAGAACAGAGATAAGGAGAAAACGAGGGTAAGAGATTGAGAGAAAAAATAAGAGAGGAATTGGGAGATAGAAATAGGATATATAGATATGGTGCGAGAGAGGGAAAGAGACGCAGATATAGGGAGGATGAGGCAGGTAGATAAAGAGAGAGAGAGAGTAAGATCGGAAGAGAGGCGAAGAGAAGTAGATGAAGGACGAGCGAGAGGGATGGAGAAGGGAAAGAGAAGAAGAGAGAGAGAGAGAGAGAGAGTCCACAATATAATAGTACAGATTATCTGGGTGTGAAGAAAATGATGTTCAATAAAGTTATTTGATATGGCCTTAATTTCTTTGGAGTTTTCTTTTTTTACACAACACCATCATCTCAAATTCAAAACAAAATACTTCTACATTTAAAAATGGTCATAAAAAGGCAAGTTATCATGATTTCGAGGCCCCCCCCCCACAACTTCTGACACCGCCTCCAGCACCCCAGATGTGTGGGTTCCTCTGTTCAACATCCCCTGCATTACCGAGAACTTGAAGAAGCAGAGTCCATGTGATGTCGGAGATTATTATTTTTTTTTTAGTGCGGACATATTGAAAGGAATATGACGACTGGTCATCTACTTCAATAAAGTTGTCATGTAATCTCAAACATTCCGTTGCTTTCAAATCCTTTGTGTTATTCGAAAAATTAAGTGACAATGTAGGTTTAAAATCTATCACTCTCAGATGACATGGTCGCTGTGAATGAAGCTACTGATTTCATTGGAATATAGCAGGGGTAAAAGCGCAAACCCCTATTTAATAGTGACAGGATTAAACTAAGATCTCTCCTCCCCCCCCCCCTGATAACACGCGGCTTTGAATGTCTCTATTCGCTCAGCCATGTCGATTGTAAGTGGTTTCCTAATGGCTGGTTGAGTTGCGAAGCTTAACGTTGATATCTGTAAATGCAGCGGTTCTTAACCTGTAGGTCGCGACCCCTCGGGGTTGAACGACCATTACACAGGGGTCACCTAAGATCATAGGAAAACAGATATTTACGAAGTAGTGACTAAAATAATTTTATGGTTGCGGGGTCACCACAACATGAGGAACTGTATGAAAGGGTCGTGGTATTAGGAACGTTTGAGAGCCACTTTTATAAAAGGCTTCGCCGAAAGCCGAAAAAAATAATTGTTGCTGTATTTACTCTGGTCGCGTGTGAAGGGTTGGGGTAGGCGATCTAGGGATTTCTCGCATATGAGGGGTTGGGTAGGCGATCTATGTATTTCTCGCATATGAGGGGCTGGCGTAGGCAATCTAGAGATCTCTCCTGTGTGAAGGGTTGATGTAGACAATCTGGAGATCTCTCGCATATAAAGGGTTGGGGTAGGCAATATAGAGATCTCTCGCATATGAAGGGTTGGGGTAGGAAATCTAGGGATCTCTCGCATATGAAGGGTTGGGGTAGGCAATCTAGGGATCTCTCGCATATGAAGGGTTGGGGTAGGCAATCTAGGGATCTCTCGCATATGAAGGGTTGGGGTAGGCAATCTAGGGATCTCTCGCATATGAAGGGTTGGGGTAGGCAATGTAGGGATCTCTCGCATATGAAGGGTTGGGGTAGGCAATCTAGGGATCTCTCCCATATGAAGGGTTGGGGTAGGCAATCTAGGGATCTCTCGAATATGAAGGGTTGGTGTAGGAAATCTAGGGATCGCTCCTGTGTGAAGGGTTGATGTAGACAATCTGGAGATCTCTCGATATGAAGGGTTGGGGTAGGCAATCTAGGGATCTCTCGCATATGAAGGGTTGGGGTAGGCAATCTAGGGATCTCTCGCCCACCCGCATACAAGGCATGGGTCCCCGGCTCATGGTGTATGTCTATTCAATAAAATGCCATATCCAATATAGTCAAGCAGATTTGCCAGATGGATTCTATAGACTTGCACCTAAAATACTGAGATTTAGTAATCATCTTTGTGCATGGTGACAATCAACAATCACTAAATTTTAAAATATGGTGTTGTTTCTTCTCGCTTCATATTAAGTATAAGAGACCTATGAAAAAAATGGAGTGGCGAAGCTAGATGTATCCAGCCCAGGATAGGCAAAGACTTTTGTCGCCCCTACCCCGTCACTTTCCACGCAACAAGCACCCAAGTTGGACGAAAATATAACAACCTTACAATTAAATAATCAAATTGCTGCTCATGGATAATCACCCACCTCCTTCGCCCGCCATTCCTATGCCACTGGAAATATTACTTTGATGATTGATTCCTAAATAAAGGATAAGTTATTTCATGTGGAATAGGACAAGCCTCTTTTTTATATCTGTACTAAACGTATTTAAGCTTTAACATCATGGCCAAGGAGCCCATTGTCTCCGATTGGTATAGTATTGATTAGCTTATCGAACGCCAGAAATGAATTCGATCGAAACGAGAATAGCTGATAATGTTACACACCTCAGATTAGGATAATATGTTAAGAATAATAATACTTAAAAAAAAAAATTGTTCGTCTCTTTCTGTTTTACCATTGACCCGTTTCTTGCAAAAACTTGAAACTGTAACACTACCGTGTCACTATCTGAATATTAAGGGTCGACGTACTACTCAGGGGAGCTATCAGAATCTGGGGTTTGGGACGCCTGAGGCAACGAACACAAACGTGGCAGTTGTTTTCGCTTCAGCTGTTCTTTTTTAAAAGCTCGTTCCAGTCTATCTACTTTATAAAGGCGCTTATAAAAAAAACCCAAGGAATGTAAACGACCTAGTGCGTCTTAGCTCCCTTTATCCACTTTTCTGAACGATGTCATAATTCTAATTTTATTTTCAACACTCTTATACAACGCTGTGAACTGTAATTTCTTAAAGGTTGGAACACTTTTTTCATACATTCATAGATAGACGATTGAATTAAACAGCCGATGTTCTGATGAACAAAAAAATAATGCAAAACTGTTTTAAAAGCACACTGTACTGCGAACACAGAATCAAACCTTATTTTCAATGCGTGCTCCAAGCCATTTAAACATATTTGTGTTTACCCTTCACGCTCAACAATTTACCTTTTTTAAAAAAAAAACAAAAAAAAAACAAAAAAAACTACAGCTTTTTGGATTAGGTGGTTATAAAACCACTTTCCAGAAACCATCTAATGGGACATGAACAATGGCCAAGACATATTTGGTGCGATCCATTGTTTGGTTTTCATGTGATCAGCTATTAACACACAGTTAGAGTCACAATGGGCTTCCTATAGTTGGTATAATTTTTTTTTTAAAAAGAGGTTAACCGCGTAGCCACCGCTGGTGCCAGCCCTGGATCGAGGCCCCGCAATGTGCTGCTTCGTTTCTTGAAAAAGCTCAAGTTCCTCAAAAAAAAAAAATTGTTTTTATTCATTTATTTATTTCCTGAATAACAGAGGTTAAAATTAATTCGTAGCCTATTTTTATTATGCACCACCTATTTGCACGGATTTTAAAAAAAGCAATAAACTATTTTATCTAGAAGAAAATTTATAAGAAAGCTAAAGAGAATTCGATCATCATGCCAATTTTATAATTTTATTTTGTCGATACTATTTTTAGAAAAAATTCGTATTCCTGCTTTGTTCAATATAAAAAAAAATTATGTTGGGTTTGTAAACACAATTGTTTTAAGATACATCTAAGAAACGATTTGTAATTTAACTGAAAAAAGTTATAGTATTTTGAAATTCTGAATGAAAATTTCAATAAACTAAATACTAGGAAATGTATACTTTATTTTTATACGATTTCCTACCTTTAAAATCCCACATTAAAAAATGTTTAATGCTATTTTGTAAATAACTCGTGTCTTCCTTAAATACTAATGCCACTCATATAAGATTTATGAAAATTATCCGTTTTGACGACCCATTAAAATATTGTATAGTCTACCTTTATTCTTAACATTTTTTTTTTGTGTTGAAATATTTTTAAAATTTAACTATTATAAGTAAGTTTTTTTTTTCGTTTGCAATCATCATGTACAATGTTGTTAGCAGTGCTTTTTTGTGAAGAAAACACCTTTTTTTAAAAAAAAAAAAAGTCATTTATTAGCCGTTTAGTTAATCCACAAAAGTTTTTGTTGCTTTTTTTTTTAGAGAAAAAGGAAAGCTACATTACTATGTAATTTTTTTTTTTTCTAAATATTTTTAAAATTTAACTATTTTATGTAATTTTTTTTTTTTGTTTGCAATCATTATGTAAAATTTTGTTAGCAATGTTTTTTTTTGAAAAAAACACCTTTTTTTAAAAAAAAAAAAAAGTCATTTATTAGCCGTTTAGTTAATCCACAAAAGTTTTTGTTGCTTTTTTTTTTTAGAGAAAAAGGAAAGCTACATTACTATGTAGTAAAAAATATAATTATTTTTTCCAGAACTCAAGCAGGGTGATCGCTTAACTTTTCGAGGCCCCCCTTTGCCACATTTTAATCTAGCCCTTCCCCACATTGAATTGAAATATAAGAGAGAGAATGCCCGCATCAAATCTTTAAGGCTCTTAAATATCCGAGTCCCACCGTAGATGTGTCTAGGGTTAAGCGACACTTAATTTTTTTTAAACTTTCATTTCTTTCGTTGCTCTCCAATTAAGTTTAGAATGTTGCAAAACTAAATTAAATTATTTACTATAATGCATTTTGTATTTTCAATTGGTCAAACATTTCCTGGGGGCTTTAACAAATTAAGAGGCTAGGGAAACTATATACCCTCAAAGGCGCCACAACTGCAATGAATTTAGTTCATTTCCCCCTGTTGCAGCGGTAAAGATGTTTTTGAGCATTAAAATGTCTAATGTTGGCGCTTCCAGTGCGACAGTTTCAAAGGTCACCTCACAAGTATCTGAAAGAAGCACCGAGTTCAAGTATGCGCCAAAATAGAAACCAGCGTCTTTTAATTTGCGAAGCTGTCTTCAGCACACTCAATTTATACACCCCATTCCTTCAAGCCATTTAAAGTTACAGGATCAATTTGAATAATTTAAGTTGTGCCAAATGATGACCATGGGGCACGCAACAATCGGAGTTAACATAATGGCAGAAAAATGTTTCCCCAGACCTTTACAAATTTCTTTTCCTTGTCCACAAAGTCTAATTGAACCTTTAATTCAAATATACTCAAAAAATGCATTCCTAAATTTTGAAATAATAAACAGAACCTCGCTCCCTACGACCGCTCAAGATTCATCTTACTTACGTATGCCCTTTTACCTGTTTGGGGCACAGGCCGTCTACAAGTCTCGGTTCTGTGCTTCCTTTCCAGATGCTTCCAATTGTATCTCATATTTTATGTGTCTGCATCTAGTTCGCGTCTCCATGTATTTTAAGGGAATTTCTTCTTTCTTTTTTTCCTGATGGATTTCATGTTAAGGATTGTCTGGCGATGCTATCTTGAGGTTTGCAGAGAGTGTGCCTTATCTAACTCTATCGTTTCCTTTATGAGGTCTTAACCAATAGTTTCCTGGAATGTGCTTTTAAGTATGTCTATGTTGGTGAGTGTCTGGTTATTTGATGATCAGGAGCTTTCTAAGGCAAATGTTTATAAAGGTCTGTACTTTCTACGTAGTGCTCACGGTTATTCTCCAAAGTTGCGGCCCCATAGAGTAGGACTGTTTTAACATTTATGTAAAAAATATGACTTTGTTGTGTAGAGTCAGCACCTTTAACTCTCATAATTTCTATAATAGCACAAATGCTGACTTGGCTTTTATAATTCTAGCTTATAAATCTGCTTCGGGCCCACCAGATATGTCAATGGTGCCTGAGTATGTGAAGGCATCCACTTCTTCCAGTGCATTTCCTGCCAGGGAGATATGCTCTTGGTTGGATGAGTTTACATTCATGATTTTTGCTTTGCTTTTATTTATATAAATTTATTTTATATAAATATAAGCAAGATTCATCTGCGCCCTGAATTTCCCCCCTAAATCCCGAAGAAATAGTCTTTAATTTTGGTAAAGATATAGACGCTGCCTAGTGGCATATCTAGTATTATTACCATTATGGGTGGCCTACTACTTTTGCCGCTCTTCCTTTCACAATACAAACTCTGCTTTTGTCCAAAAATGCTGCACATGTATATAAAAAATAATACCAAAATGAACAACCCCATCCTTCTCCTTTCTACGCCACTGGCAGAACAACCCCATCCTTCTCCTTTCTACGCCACTGGCAGAGGCGTTACTCGAGTGTTTTCCTCTGACCACTACCCACTGGCACTGCACCCACGGTAATCTGAAGTGTCCCCCCCCCCTTTTCCCGGAGAAAAATGTCTGATAGAAAAATTGATTCCAAGATCACAATAGCAGGTTCTCAAAATATTAGGTCCAGGGAAAGGCCAAGCCGTCAGTAGATTGACTTTGTTTTAGTTACTCTAAAACTCCACAACATGTACCCCAAAAGAGCCTAACACCTGGACACAATCTGTCAACTATATGCTCCCACAATGTCTTCCCTGTAACAGCATACAGAAGAAGATAATATAGAGTCAGTGATCATTTTCCAATACTTTCTACATATCTGCTTGCTGGATAACCCCCTGGATCAGACGACTCGAACCATTGAATACCGCCAGTTGTTGAAATAAACACTGAGATAAGGATGGCCTTAAGGCTCATATCATTTGAAGATACTGGAGCCAAGCTGAAAATATGACACTTTGTAATTTCACATTTCTCACGCACACGTTTGTGATAGATTTTTGGTCAGAAAGACAGAACATGGTGATTGTGATACATTGCAGGGCAAATTTAACATGAGACTCAGACACTGAGATGAAACAAGGACGGGATATAAACTGCAAAATATTATTTATATATTCATTTAATTGAATAGAAATGTGTCTCCGTTGAAGCAATCAGTTTACTTCAGAGTTCAAGAATGTGGCTGGGAATGGTCGAAGAAATAACTAATACAACCCTCAACGAATACGAGTTTCCTAAATAACTGTTGTCAAGGCCGTTCGTAGGGATTTGGTGATTTTCGCCAGCAGTCGTGCTCACGTAGAAAAAGCGCCTCTTAGTAACAAAGAGATTTATGTTTATAAAGGAAAGCTTGGTATTTTCATAACCAAGAAATATATATATGTAATAGAAACCAGGGCTTTTTAAAAAACCGAGAAACATGTTTACAATAGAAACCAGGTTCTTTTAACAACCAAGAAACATATTTATAAAAGAAACCAGCGCCTCTTAACGACCAACGCACATGTTTATGAAAGAAACCTCAGTCCTTTACCACCCGACAAACGTATTTGTAAACGAAACACCTTTTAACGACAAACAAACACATAATTTATGAAAGAAAGCTCAGGGCCTTTAAACGACCAACAAACATATTTATGAAAGAAACCATTGCTGTTTAACGAAAAAGAAAAAAAAAACTGTACAAAATGAACCTTGTTTTTTTAATTAGGGCTGAGTCGGGTCAGTTTTTTTTTTAAATCTGCTTACTGGGTCTGGGTATTTTATGACAATAACGGGTGGGTCCTATCCCGCGTATTAACAATTCAGGACGCATCTATAGATGATGAGAAATGGGTTCAAACCAATGTGAAAAGTGAATACTGCAGGTATGTGATCAGTAGCGATCAGGATGAATGGAAGTTAATTGATTTACAACACTAATAAGCTACTCAAATCATGATAATAATTTAGTTCAGCTCATGAACAGTCTGCGGCTACGTAACTGGATGGGAGGCGGAGGGGTAGCAGTGATTGGGATTCTTATTAAATACGTTTCTTGAATGCTTGTTTTTGTCGAGCAGCTTTAGTTGAAGGGAAGATCACGCATTTCCGCAGACATTGTTTAGCGTGTTATAAATAGTCTAAAGCTAATAATCACACACAATAAGCAACAAGAATACAATTAGGATCTTTGAAAATATTAGCAGTTTCGTTTAGCGGAAGTCACCCGCGCAAGTCATTAGTCATCCAACACCCAGCATCCTGTGGCAAAAGGCAGGCTCTCCTAAATGCACTAGGAAGGGTCTAGAATAGGAGCCCAAAACATTGCCTGCTCCTTCACACCCTGGCCGGCTAAACACGGTCAGAGGGGATCCAATTGTGGCGGTCGAATATCAAAGATAGACATCATTTCACTTACAGTTGCCTCATGCAAAATCCACCCACTCCTTGACAGGAACGCTACAAAAAGACATCAACGGCGCGCAGCGCTCATTGCCCATGAACTTGCCAGATACAATATAGACATCGCCACCCTCAGATAAACCAGACTCTCTGGCAAAGGTGAACTCACAGAAAGATTTGCTGGCTATTCTTTCTTCTGGCGTCGACGCGACCCTGACGCAAGGTGAGAAGCTCGTGTTGGCGTTGCTATCAAAAGCTCCACAGCTCTCCAAAAGGTATCAATGACCGTCTAATGACGTTGAAACTACCCCTCTGCCATGGAAAGAAGTCTGCTACTTAGTCAGTGCCTATGCACCCACCATGACAAACACAGAAGAGACCAAAGATAAGTTTTATGAAGACCTGAACACCGTCATCTCCTCCACACCGACTGCTGACAAATTCATCATATTTGAAGATTTCAATGCACATGTTGGCAGTTATTACATCTTCGGGGGGAGGGGGAGGAGTGGGGGAGGAGTGATTGTGAAGTATGGTGTTGGAAATTTCAACAGCAACAACCTGCTGCTACTTCAGAAAATGCGCTGAACACGGCCTTCTAATAACAAACACCTCCTTCAGCCTGCCTACGCGCAACAGGACCTCCTGGATGCACCCCCGTTCAAAACACTGGCACCTAATAGATCTTGTAATCGTCAGTATTAGGGACCGGCAGGACTTGAGAGTTACTAAGGCCATGTGCAGCGCAGAATTCATGACGGATCACTGCTTCATCGTTTAAAAGATGAAAATTCACATCCAAACTAAGAGACGAGCTCAGGTCAACAAAGATGCGAAACTCCTCAACATCAGTACCCTGAAGATCCTTAATGTGAGACAAACCCTCGTTGACAACCAGGATGAACGCCTTGGTACCATCACCAGGACGCGGAAAAAGTGTGGACCACACTTCATGAGACGATGTATAACCCGGCCGCTGACCTTCTACCAGGAAACACAATGATTGGTTTGACGAAAACAACACAGCAATCCAAATTTTACTTGAGCATAAATGTCGGGCGTACAAGTTCCTCAATGATGACCCAATGTCAACAGCTAAGGCAGCTGCACTGAAGAGCATCCGCAGCAAGGTCCAGTTGCAACTTCGCCAGATGCAAGATTCCTGGTTGAGTGCAGAAGCTGATGAAATTCAGGGCTTTGCAGACAAGAAAGACATGAATAACTTCTATCGTGGCATGAGAGAAATCTATGGAGTTACCTTTTTAGGCTCTTATCCTCTCCTTAGTGCGATGGTTCTACACTCATCACAGACAAGGAGAAAATATTGTAAAGATGGGTGGAACACTTTGAAAGTGTGCTCAATACGCCTTCCATCATTTATGATGAGGCCATTGAAAGACTGCTCCAGTTCCAAACGAAAAAGTTACTGGACGCTGTCCCAAATTTGGTCGAGATACAGACCGCAATCCACCAAATGATCAATGGCAAAGTACCTGGCTCTGACATAATTCCTGCTGAAATTTACAAAGAAGGTGGACCAGTGCTTACGGATAAGCTATTGAATCTATTCCAGATCATCTGGCAGACTGAAACTGTACCACAAGACCTATAGGATGCTTCGATTATCCACCTGTACAAACATAAATGAAACCACCAGGCCTGCAACAATCACAGCGAAATTTCATTGCTGTCCATTGCAGGAAAAATCTTGGCCAGAGCCCTTTTTAACCGCCTGAATGCACATCTGGAGCTAGGTCTCATATCCGAAAGTCAATGCGGTTTCCGCAAAAAACGTGGAGCTATCGATATGGTGTTTGCTGCTAGGCAGCGTCAAGAGAAATGTCAGGAGCAAAATACAGACCTATATTCCACATTTATCGACAGGGTCAATAGAGGTGGCCTATGGAAAATCGTGAAAAAGTACGGATGCCCAGACATGTTCACCAACATCATCCGTCATTTTCATGATGGCCCGGGTTTCAGGACAATGGCCAATCATCTCAAGCATTCCTCGTCACAAACGGTGGGAAGCGGGGCTATGTCCTGGTTCCAACAATCTTCAGTATTATGTATTCTGCAATGCGGTTTGATGCATTCAAGGACTACACCACGAGCTTGCCAATCCGGTTTCGCACTGATGTATCAGTCTTCAAACTTAGGAGGATTCAAACTAAAACCAAGGTCAATCGTAACACCATCAACGAGCTTCTGTCTGCTGAAGATTGTGCCCTCAACACTGCATCAGAAGCCATCATGCAACACAGCGTTGATATCTTCTCTTAGGCCTACAATAACGTTGGCCTCACAATCAACACAAAAATACTGAGTTTCTATATCAGTGAGCTCCCAGAAAGCCCTACGTTGAACCCTACATCATCATCAGCAGACAGCGTCTCAACCCGGTGGATAAATTTACTTACTTGGGCAGCACGCTCTCCAGATCTGTCGTCGTGGATGATTAAATGAATGCCAGAATCGCAAAAGCTAGAACCATATTTGGCAGGCTCCGCAGCACTGTTTGGCACAAGAGGGGTATCAGACGAGAAACGAAGATCAAGGTCTATAGCGCAGCAAGTTCTATAGCGCAGCAAGGTCTATAGCGCAGCAAGGTCTATAGCGCAGCAAGGTCTATAGCGCAGCAAGGTCTATAGCGCAGCAAGGTCTATAGCGCAGCAGTCCTCCCGACACTGCTCTACGGATGTGAAACGTGTACAGTCTACCAGCGTCACGCCAAGAAACTGAACCATTTTCACACGACCTGCCTAAGGAAACCCCTCGGCATCATGTTGCAAGACAAAATTCCTGACACTGAAGACTTCGCCAAAGCCAACCTACCTAGTATCTTCACCACCCTGATGCAGTCTCAACTCCGTTGGATGGGACACGTAGCACGTATGGAAGACCACAAAAAAAAACAAATATTCTTCGGAGAACTCACGATAGGCAAGCGCTTCCAAGAAGGTCAAAAAAGCGTTAAATAGGCTCACTAAATGAGGCACTAAAGGCCTTCAGCGTCAACCCTACTCAATGGGTGAGAACAGCCCAGAACAGCCCAGAACAGCCCAGAACAGCCCAGAACAGAGTCAGGTGGAAAGCAGCTGTCAAGAAAGGGGCTCAATCTCATGAAGCCAGTGGGATAACCACAGCTGAGACACGCAGGCAACATTAGATCATGGACTGCGGAAACTATCCCCTGCCCGCGGTACCAGAGATTATTCCGAGAACGGATCGGTCTAGCAACCCACCTACGAGCTCACCGTCACCAACTCTCACCCCTAACCGGATGACTCGATGTTCCTTGTCAATTTTGACGGAAGAACAACAACCACATTTATTATTAGTAGTTTAATTCAAGTAAAATATACCAAAAATATGTTTAAATGTGCATATATTTTATCTGTAAACACCCGGACCTGGTTCCAGATCATTGGCCTGGTCTTGGCAACCCAGGAATGTATAATACTTGTCACTTTTGGGACCTGGTTCTGCATATGGCTCGCGGTACTTTGTATAACCTACTGACGTTTTTACAATTGAAACCATGGCCTTACAATAGCTTAGAAATATATATTTATACTAGAAATCAATGACATTTCAATAAGAGACATATTTATATCGAAACCAAATAACTTTTCAATGGCCTGAGACGTAATTACATAAATCAAAACTAGGCAATGAGTTTGTAACGCCCGAGTTAAGAGATCTTTTATCGCCGCTCCTTCACAAGAGCAACCAAAGACACACTATGCATCTGGAATGTGAGTTCGTAATATAGTAAATACTAATATAGTAAAAGAGTAAAATACGAATAGAGTAATATACTAATATAGTTTATTTCGTTGAACGAAACAGGCGCACGTAAAAATGAGACGGATTGGCAAAATGCCCCACCCGAAGCCCTTCCCACAGACGCCCTACAACAGTCGAGATGATATTTATATTGGAAATTTATAAATATATATATATATATTTTTAAAAGTTCCAAATCAAAGTTTTAAAGCTTTTAAAATTGGAATTTTTCAAAAATAGCTGGCTGACAACAAAACTAAGTTTCAATCATTTGAACCATCTTCGGCTGAACTTTTTTAATACCTTTAAGTTGATTTGTATCTGTGATGCCCCATTTCATGTGGTTGTGTGATCCAGAACGACTCTGCCAGCCATTGCTCTCCAATATGGGAGTCCTTGTTGGAAACAACGCCATATCACTAATCTCATGGTATTGTTTGCAAACTCATCGACCCTTTGATCAATACATATAAGTATAATAATACATTAGTATTTCATCGCCATCCATAAAGTTCATCTAGGTTTAGTTTAATAACTCGGTAATAAAAGCAACATACCTTTAATTTTTTTTTTACAAATATGTTCATAATATCAACAAAAAATATATAGCGTTCGCCCCCATCCATTATGTCCCTATAAAAATTGTCCCATCGCTCTGTTACAATAAGATATTTCACAAAACAAACAAATAAGCCTTTACGGCACGTGTAACCAAAATACGGCCCGTGGGCCGGATCCGGCAAGCGACGCCAGTTCATCAGGCCCGTCGACGGTACTTGAATTTGCTTGATAAAACTTATGGAACACGATAGTTGTGATACAATTCAAATTTAAATACTAAATTTAAATTTAAATTTCGAATACTAGGAGATTTTCACATGTTTGGAGACCTCCTGCCTGCAATGCGCCTTAAATTTACCATTATCAGCTTTAGATTATTGTAACTGTATATATATATTTTCTTCTTTTTTTTGTAATTTATGCTAATGTCGAACTCTCCCAATTCCTTCCCCGGCTAGTGGAATAACTTATATCTTGGAGCAAACATTTTTTTTTTAAAAAATGAGGTAGGTTAAGTCAACACATCGTACGAGATTGACTGATGAACATTTGAAAGCAATGCCCCTGATTGGATGCAGCAATGCCCCTGATTGGATGCAGCAATTCCAAACCACACATTGTTGATATATTGAAAGCCAAACGTCAGTTTCACAAATCTAACTATTCTGGGTTTGTTTTTTTGTTTTTTTTGTTTTTTTGCAATTTAGCTTGTGAGATTCGGATATGTGCACACTAGGTCTGATGTAACTATCTTTTTAATAACGTCGCCTTTGTTGATTAATTTTTTAGTAAATAAATATGATGGTTGTCTTTGTTTTGTTTTTTTTTACATCGCACGCCAATCACCCATGGTTAACACGGAATACTTACTACGTTTTTTGTCTCCCCCCCCCCCAACAGCTTTCGTTATTTTTTTTTTTTTTTTTTCATCCCCCGCCCATCCCCCATGGTTTACACGGAATTCTTTTTTCTTTTTTTTGCTCCCCCCCCCCCCCAACAGCTTTCGTTCTGGCTTGCAAGTATTGCACAGAATGATTATGCGGCCACCGCTCGTCCTATTATCAGTTACATGGTCCACTGTTAAAAAAAAAATTTGTTACCCATGCTCTAGCGCTAAAGAAGTCAAAACAAAACAGTAACGTATGTCCCCGCGGTCTCGTTGTCCAGTTTCCGTGGACTGCCATTGGTCTGCGGGCCGTCCAGAAACCATTCCAAAAAAAACAATAACAGGTTATTCATAACATTAGCGAACGATTCCTGCGCCAACGTTGATCACTCCAGCCGATCCGTCCAGCGGAAAAGTTCTAGCAGCGCTGTCCTATAAGATGTCTCGTCCACTCGGGAATACGAAAACACACGATAATACTTAAACACGGTAAAACTTAAACATGCAGTTATACTTAAACACACTAATATCTAAACACACATAATTTTCTTTTCTTAAATTTCAACAAACATCGCTATATGCAGTGAATTTATCTTAGCATGCAGAATTATTCGAGAATGGTGATACCAGTCTTAAGAAAATCTCACAAAGAAAATGAAACGTTTTTCGGCTTACCCAGAAATGAGACAATATTTAGCATCTAAATTCTTCTTCATGCAAATGTAAGGATAACAAAGTTTTAGAAGAAACACTCTAACAAAACGGGTTTTTTTTTTTTGGTAAGTTGAATCTTGTGTCAATTTGTTGGTAAATGGTGGGTCCCACTTACCACGATGGTACAGAAATGATTGAAGCATTCAGCCACAGTTGCTGTAGATTGCGTGAACCTGATGGTCACCCAGGTCGTTACTAACCTCATGTAACAGTTCACTGGTTATACACTGTAAATGTAGTACACAGTGGGGAGACTTTTGGTACAGGCAAACCAAGAAACTTACTGGAGCGCAAAATTCTGGGGGCCTCATTTCGATCGCAAACAGAATGTTTGTTAAAATTTCTTCGTGTGACTATTCCGTATGGCTGGGACTATTCGTGCCCGGGTACCAGAAGTGAGAGGTTGGGATTAAAAAAACTATTTAAATTATTATTGTTGGGTTTGTAAGACAAAATGAGGTATCAAATGAAAGATAATTGAATGGAATGTATGTTTGTAAACTTACTTCTTCAGTTTAACTAAAATAAACTACCACAAATGACATCCGAATAGCTTGAGTTTAATGGTACCCGGGTGCGAATGGCGGCGCTGCGTGTCTGGGTCCATTTTGACTCAGTGCTATTCGGATGTCATTTGTGATACACTAGTTTTGATTACAATTCATTTTTTTTTTAAAATCCTTCATATTAACTTCACTTTCCTTTGTGTGTTTCTGTAAGGTAAAAATACTTGGACGGCCAATTGACCCACTTCGCGTCATCCTATCCTACTGAAACTCAGCACATAGACTCGTTACCGATGAAAAAACATTCTCTCTAATTCTCAGCCCCACCTCATCCCCAACCACAGAAAAATCAATATTCTTTTATCTCGATCTGATGCCAAATGATTAAACAAAACAAAAATCCGGATAACTGCGCTAGTCTAAAAGATTCTTGAAAATATTGCAAGTGCATTCGCTGCGTAATATTTTCTGTTTTGTTTTACAGAAATATTTTTTAATCTGGACATTAGAGTTTCAACATAGTTCTTGGGCATGAAAAAAATATGCGGTTGTGAGCCTGTGTGGGGGGAGGGGGAGATAAAAACTTGGGATACTTATAAAATGCATTACTTTAATGCATTACTTTAATGCATTACTTTAATGCATCACTTTAAGGCATTACTTTAAGGCATTACTTTAATGCATTTTTTAGTCAAATTTTCAACCCCAGCCCCCCATTGCTCGCTATTACATTTTATAAATGATGGATACCAAAAACTTTGTTTTTAGGGCTGGTTTAAATTTAAATTAGAAATATTGTCCAGGGTATGAGAATCAATGTTGTTATATTTGGAGATTGCATTAGAAGATGTTTACCAAAATGAGTGAAAGTATGAGTGAACGAGGCGTGAGTTTGTCGACGGTGGGCGAGAGGGGATCTACACGGTGTGTGGGGGAGAGAAAGGGGTTGTTGGATGATGGTCACGGTAAAGGTTGGTGTGTGTGTTGCTGAGTACTGTTGGGAGAAATTTTAATTAATAATTCTGTTGTGTATCTATTGGATTTTGAGTACCTTTTAAATGACTGTAAACTGTGTGATGAAGCGAGAAAACGTATAGCTTGCCATTAGTTACTCGGTGCTGTAGTGCATTGGACTAAACGTATAGTATGAGTTGCACTAGTCCGTGGGGACGAAGTGGGAGACAATATCTAAACAAATAGTCGTCTGCCTTTAAGTTTAGATGAACACTCAACAGTGACATCTATATCTCGTCATTGTGGGCCTGTCCGAAGCTGTGAAGTATCACCCCGTCCAAAGCCGTGTGTCTCCAGTCCGAAGCTGTGAAGTATCATCCCGTCCAAAGCCGTGTGTCTCCCGTCCGAAGCTGTGAAGTATCATCCCGTCCAAAGTCGTGTGTCTCCCGTCCGAAGCTGTGAAGTATCTTGGTCAGGCTGTCCGAAGCTGTGAAGTATCATCCCGTCCAAAGTCGTGTGTCTCCCGTCCAAAGCTGTGAAGTATCTTGGCCGGGCTGTCCGAAGCTGTGAAGTATCATCCCGTCCAAAGCCGTGTGTCTCCTGTCTGAAGCTGTGAAGTATCACATCGCTGTGTGATGAGCTGGTCAGAAGCTGTGTCTCCCGTCCGCAAAAAAGCCCGTAGAAGGCCTGGCCATTAGACCAATCAGCCTAGTCTACAAAAGCAGCCTTGCCGTGCATATCGACCGGGTGTCTGAAGCTGTGTTTCCCGTCCGTCAGAAGGCCGTCGTCGGGAAGGCCTGGCCATTAGACCAACCAGTCTAGTCTACATAAGCAGCCTTGCCGTGCATATCGACCGGGTGTCTGAAGCTGTGTCTCCCGTCCGTCAGAAGGCCGTCGTCGGGAAGGCCTGGCCATTAGACCAACCAGTCTAGTCTACAAAAGCAGCCTTGCCGTGCATATCGACCGGGTGTCTGAAGCTGTGTCTCCCGTCTGCCAGAAGGCCGTCGTCGGGAAAGCCTGGCCATTAGACTTAAATGTACTATAGTCATAGTTAAATGTACTATAGTCAAAGTAAAATGTACTATAGTCATAGTAAAATATACTATAGTCATAGTAAAGTGTACTATAGTCATAGTAAAATGTACTACACTCATAGTAAAATGTACTATAATCATAGTAGTGCATTTAGTTGTATATTTTAGATTATTCGAAATATGATTACTCGGAAAATTCATTTTTTTGACATGTTTCGAGGAGGATATTAAATTTATTATTTGTTCCAAAAAGTTCTATAATGATCCACGGCGATATATAATGGTATCTAAAAGCTTATTGAAATCTAGTTCAGTTCTATTCATTTCTAGACTTTTATGGGGATTCTCTCTAAATATACCCTTCACAATCCTTCCGAGAACAATTTCCAACTTGGAACACACCGAGGAACAGGTTCCCAATGGGGAACTAGATCCAACAGTAAACTGTAATCCACAGGCCACGCGATCCCATATATTATGAAACTGATTTCACCAGGATCTTGATACCGACGGATTACGGAAACCACTGGGTTCAGGATACCACAGGGATCACACCGGATTTGGGATTTAATCGGGATCCCACCGACATCGGTTTCCTACCGGGATCGTTTTCCAAATGGGATCAGAATTCCACTAGTATCGGAATCCCACCGGCATCGGTTTCCTACCGGGATCGTTGTCCAAATGGGATCAGAATTCCACTAGTATCGGAATCCCACCGGCATCGGTTTCCTACCGGGATCATTGTCCAAATGGGATCAGGGTTCCACCAGTATCGGCATCCCTCCAGGGGCCGGGATACCATCGGAAAACAGGACCCCAACGGGAAACGAGATCAGATTGGGATCCCACTGAGGAAGGAATGGTTTACAAAAGTTATTATAAAAGTATTTTTGTAAATGAGACAAATTGATTTTTTTTTTTTTTGCTAGAGGATTTTTGTTGTAATGGCGTTTAATTTCAATGGTAATTAAAGGCTACAGAAGTTATTTCTCCGAATGCAATCCCGGGCAAGCCCCTCTTTTAACTTAAATGTACATTAGTAACAGTCATTTAGTCATATAAATTTATATAAATACATTTTCGCATTCGAAAAATATTACGTAGAAAAAATTCCATTTTTTACGAGTTTCAAGGAGGATATTGAATTTAATCTAGAATGTTCCAGAAATTTATATATTTTTCAACTAAGGAGATGTATAGTAAGATCTTTACGGGAAATGCATCCCACAGCGAACGCGATCCTAACGTGATCGGAATCCCACTTGACAACGGGATCCCACCGGGAAGCGGGATCCCATCTGAGAATGGGATTCCGCTGGGTTCGGGATCTAACCGAGAAACGGGATCCAAGCGGGAATGAAATACCGGCTGGATAAGGAACTTATCAATATAGGGATCCCACCAGGATTGAGGCCCCCTGGAAAACATAATCCTGCCGGGATAGTGAGCCCACCGGTAAACGTGAACAATCCAACTGGGATCATTTATGTCACAGGAACGGTATCCCACAGGGATTGGGATTTCGACGAGATCGAAAACCCCCTTGATTCTGGATGCCAAAAGGGATCGTTATCACAACGGGATCGCGATCCAAATAGAAACGGGATCAGGATCCCACCTGTATCTGGGTTCCCTAAGGATCCCATCGGAAAACGGGACCCCACTGGGAAACGGGATCTTACTGGGTTCCTGGCAGGACCCCATCGGGAAACGAAAGGTTTACAAATTTTACTATAATATATGTATTTTTATAGGAGACCAATGAATTGTTTTATGTTTTTATTATAACGGTGTGTTTGTTTGTTTGTTTTTGTTTGTTTGTTTGTTGTTTTTTCTTTGCATGGCGCATAATTTCAATATTCATTAATAGGCCATAGATTCTTTTTTCCAAATGCAATCCCAGGAAACGTCGGGTATGTTAGCTAGTAAATATGTAATTCTGATTCAATATAATATATTATTAAAACTTACCAAGGTTTTAATTTTACAAAAGGCAGCATGAGCAAATTACTTAAATTACTTAAGGCCCGGGCTGGGTTGGGGGGGGGGTAGGCTGAATTATGGACATCCTATTAAACCCTATTAGCATATGAAGGGTTCAAGGGAAAAACCAGTGATGTCAGTTTTTCAAAATTTCTATGTTATTTCTCTTGTGACTACATTCCATTTAATAGAACTGAAAAAGCAGCGTAGTTAATAAATAAATATGTAGACATCTTGATATTTTCATCCTTTATGAGGAATTTTCAAACTTAAAATTCAATTTTCTCAAAACTCTCAAAACCTGACATCACTGGTTTTTCTTTTCCCCTGAGCCCTTCATATAGGTTCAAATCTAGTTAAAAAGCCTCCAGCTGTGAGACATAGTATTCGAGATTCTGTACCAGATATGCGATAAGATGTAACTTAGCTGCACCCATTTAAGAAACGGTGGGAAGGAAAGGTGAGGGTGGGGCTTGAAGAACACGTTCCACGAGAAAAAACAAGTCACGGTTGACATGTCTGCTGAATTCAAAAATAAAGACTAGAACAGCATGAAAGGAATAGTCACCTCTGTAACTTGAATGGGCTCTGTGTCCCGTCTCAAGTTTCTAAACTATTGACAATTTCTTTCTAACGTTAAGAGTTAACCTTGACACACACTTAAACAAATGTGTAGAGATGTTGAATCAGGTTGGAT